AAAACTTGGCAAATTTACTAGCCCGGCGACTACACAAAATGCCAACAAACACTGCAACCTCGGCTTGTCTTTCTGTTTAACCACTTCCATCCAAACTAGCCGATTGCGATAGACGAAATCACGTTTGGAAAAGAGGTTTTCTGGACAGTGACTGTGCTACAATCGGCTGTGTAAACCCACACTGGAGGCAGAAAGATGCTACCTGAGTTCGCTTCACCTCTTATTGGTTGTTCCATCTTTGTTTTTGCGATGGTCGCAATTTGTCTTTACTTTGGCTTCTGCAGAAACCGAAAAGGAGGGCATAAACCTGACGAAAGTGTCCGGCCAAATCACCCTAATGTTTATACTGTATGCGGTGGAGCTTACTACAGCTACTGTTTTACAGACCTTAACCCGTCGTGTATTTCTAAAGATGTAATTGTTTCGATAGCTGCGCAAAGACATCATCCTGTTCTATTTTCCCAGAAGAATCCAGTGAATCACACGACAAGGGAGAGCACAGAAAAAAATCAAACCCATTCATGTGAGCTCAAAACAATACCGGAAGCTTTAGAATAGCGGACGTACTTTTTCCTTTCAACTGTACTGGAGCTCCGCTCCACGAACATTCAGATACCTCAGGTTACCATTGACGAGGACAAAATAAAACTTCGTCGAACTAAAAGCTAAGATGGGAACACAAAGAATTTTTAAAAAGTTTCGTCGACATTGTCGGCCGTCTTGATCATGAGAGTGGGGAAAGTTACGTCAAGTATCACTATCACCTGTAATTTTTGAACCTCAGCCGTCTAATAATTTGTATTCTCATTCAGTTTTAACATGACAATATTCAGGGGCACATTGATCTCCTCCGATTTTCTTCAGAGAATTAACATGTCGTTTATAACTTTCGATTGGAAACTTAATTCCTGTCACGGTTTTCAGCTCAATAAAAGTAGCGTTGCGTTAATATACCGAAAAAAGGCCAGCTGTGGATCAGTTCAGAAAGGCAACATGCAAGACCTAAGGTTTTCGGGGAAATGGACAAGAAAACCCTAATACTTGTAGATTCGAGAAGACTCAAGTTCCCCAGAATGACCAAACAGATCGATTAGCCTTGATAGCTGTAATGTTTAGAAACTGTCGTTAGCTTGTCTTTGGATGCCCCTGAATTGACTCTGGCAGACTTCTACATCTACACTTAAGTGAACTCAGGGAAAGGAAATGTGACCAAATGTGCGAAAACTATAAACTTTACTGCTTTTTGTCAAAATAGCGTCACACCTGTCCCCCTGTAAATACGCCTCATTCTTTTTTCAAAAATAAAAGCTCACGTGAAAGCAACAAGTAATTATATCACACGTATTAAACCTTTGACCTCGACGTGAATCATCTTTCCATCTCAGAAATCTTAGCTAGTTGGGGTGGGACGAATAGACCTGGATATAATAGACGGGATGAAAGTTTACACGAATGATGGCAAGAAACATTTATTCGCTAGCTCCGAATTTTGCTGGGTTTACTTCGTCCTGTCACAACTAGACTTCGAGAAAAAACCTGCATAATTCCGGGGGTGGGGGTACTCCCTTGTATAAGTTATATTGGCTATATAGGTATCTGTGGTCCCAAGGGGGATGGTTTTTCGGCCGTATTGGCCATAAATAGGGTATCCATTTTGGCCATTTTGGTCATAAATAGGGCATCGTTTATATGGTTTTAACACTCTAGTCTTGAATTGTAAGAAGCTACCTTTTCTTGGAACTGGGAAGGTACTTTTTCATTACTCGATAAGACAGACCATCAACAAAAACCCTTCTTAACTTATGTTTAGGGCAACTGTGCTGCCGCAACGGTCATAAATGGCGGACCTTGAGCCAGCAGGGCGGGGGGGGGNTCGGGCCCCTCCCCTAGATCCGCCACTGAATAGTGTGCTAAGTTATCGACGTAAGCAAATGTAAAAGTTTAAAAGTTTCACTTACACACCCGCTGACGTAGCACATGCCATAAGTTTCTTCCCTAACTTCCTGTAAGAGCGTGTGCTTATAGATGCAAATGATCACTAGCTATATACTAAAAAAATGCTGCTGCATGAATCATAACTACTATAACTGGGTGAATCATTACTAGACTCCACAACAACAGCAACAACGTGCAACAGCAACAGAAGAAAGCGCACTTCCGACCCGAGACTTCCGATACGCGTATACGATAGGCAAGTAACTTAGTCACGTACTTCTCAACCCACGCGTTCGTGACATAAGTCACTGCAGCCATTCACACTGGATCATACTGTAACAGCAATGGAGAACTACGTGCCGTATCTTGCCCCATTTCTCGCAGTTGTATTCTTCTTGCTTTTGGGAGTTTTAATCTACTTCTTCTACTACAAACCCTGCAAGGGGAAAGAAGAAGATGAAGACGTAAACAAAGAACAGCGCCAACAGCTAAGTGACGCCGCTGACTGCGATTTTGTTGAGACAAGGAGATCAAATAGAGTGGTGAATGACTATTTCGTTGTTGTACACCTGTGATATTTGTGTACACGGACACTGATTAGATCTGGAAAATTTAATATCATTTATCTTTGGCAATCATTGTTGTACCAGGAAGGAACATAATTGATGTTTTGAACGCATACGCCAATTCAAGATAGCAATTCAAGTACCACACTTCTGAATGGGTTGATGGCACTCACCTCGAGAAAACGATGTCAAAGGTTCACAGAAAAGGAAATATAAATCACCAGAGGTGATGCTAAGAGGCACAAGACTGATTTCTTGTGAGCGGAATGTCGCTATGTCCTCAGCGAAGCTTAGCGAAGAATCTCACATCATGTGATCATAACGGATCATATTATTTCATCAATGATAATAATGTTACTATTACGCTTTTGGTTTCGATACTTAATTTTGGGTGTACATACTTTCAGAAAGAGTATTGTAAAAGTAGCTACAAATCTACGAGTATATTTTGCAGTACTTTAAATAGAAGCAAAAACTTATGCCAACAGTTGTTACACTCTACCTGGGGTGCTTTACTATTAGTCAGTCAAATTTCGTTCCATCTCAATATGAACAGCCTGCCCCTCCTGGAGGGGCGTTACTCCCAATAACGGCCTATACATGTACAGGGGAGGGGTACCTTTTTCAGGCTTCAGGAAAGGCCTCCTTGTTTTTGGTGAACATCTCTTCCCCTCTGGTAATGCTTGATGTCTTCATTGACTTCATTCCAAGAGTTTAGACACGGGATTCAGTGTTCTTAGGTAGGCACGTGAAAGGGACCCTTTTCTCAATAAAAGGTGTACGAAAAGGGTACCTTTTCTGTCAAAATGGTATACAAATGGGTAAAGGGGTGGACCTCGGGCCGGAACCTCCCCATCCAAAACATTTTAGAGTAAAACCCCGCTCCTCCCGCGGAAACAGCCCTGAATATTTAATTCAAATTTGTGCTCTATGCTCACAATATTCCTCTACACTCACAATATGAAACCCTTTAATAGATCAGAGGAAACGTTGTTGTAGAAACGTTTCGTTTCCCGAAAATTGTATCCAGGCCAAGTCGTACAAAACAAAACAATGTTGCCACATCAATGTTTTCCTGTTTGCCTGAACTTTTTCTGGTCACTGCCCCTTCGCAAGTTATTAAGTCATAAGGTTGCAGGCCTAGCCGCTTAGGTTGCACTAAGAAGAAAAAATATCAGTAAGGTCATTCTAGAGCAATATAAGTATAAGAACACGACTAAGATCGAATTCTTAATATTAACCTCAAGGCAAAGGCGAGTTTACTTGTCAGACAACCAGTCTCTTACCATTAATAATTTTCCCATTGAGCCGAGGTGTCTTCAACAAAATCTCTCGGTGTATTGATCGATGAAAACTTAAGTTGGAATACCCACATTGAAAGTGTTTGCAAGAAACTTTCTTCAGCTTTAGGCTTAATTAAGCGCATTAGAAATTTCGTACCATTCAACACTCTTTTGAACATCTTGAATGTTTTGGTGAAGCCCCAGTTTGACTGCTGCAGCTTAGTATGGGGATGCTGCAGTATAAGTCTTGCCGAAAAACTTCAGAAGCTGCAAAACCGTGCGGTTCGCATATTGTTGTCCACCCATGATTCTAGTGCTGCAGACCTGGGGCCCGTTTCCCGAAAGCCCTGGAGACTTTTCGGGCCCTAAAGCCATTTTTAGCTCATCTGTATCTAAAAACGGAGAAGTGTACACGCCTGAAACTTCTTGTATGAAGGGAACTTCTGTTCATATTAAGAATATGCGAATAAAACAGCTCTCTAATCGTTAGGTTCGAGATTTTGCTATGGCTTTCCGGGCCCAGAAAGTTTCCGGGGCTTTTGAGAAATGGGCCTCTGTTCCGTAGACTTAATTGGAAAAACCTAAGGAATCAGATCAGAGGCTTTTTACCAAAGCCATTATGATGTTCAAAGCTTTAAATCAATGGAGAGACACCTGATTATTTATCAAATAAATTCAACTTTCTTAATGATACAACTAGTTATAGATTAAGAAATAGCGAAATGAGGCTGGCTCTTCCTCAACCTCGCACCGATTATGTTCGTAAATGTTTCAACGCGGTGCCGCGTTGTGGAATAGCCTTCCAACCAGGGCGCCCTGCTTCCAACTGATATTAGAGTATCTAAAACATTAGTTGAATTGAAGACGAGCTAAGTAACTTTAGTTTTGAGTGAATTAACGACACGGCGTCCCTGAAAAGCAGTACTTTTGTTTTCATTTACTTTTATTAAAATAGATAGTTAGCTCAGTTTGTTTAGATTAGGTCAGTTTGTTTAGATCAGGCTCTTCTTTTTGATTATATTGTTTAATTTTTACAGATATAAATATTTTTGCTTGTATACAACTGAGTGGAATTTACCGTGTATAAGTAAAGTGATCTATCCATCCATCTAGACTTCGTTCCCAGTCGATAGAAATGTCAAGTTCTTTCCAGTTAATTTCCTGTTTCGCTTGTCAGGCACTCAATCAATCATTAATGTCCTAAAGAGGCCTGGCACTAGTCTCTTCCCTCCTGCTGAAAATGGCGGCCAAACTTGGAAGACTTGCTGTGAACAACACTGCGTTTTTGTTGTGTGATATGCAGGAGAAGTTCCGACCGTCTATTAGATACTTTCCTGAGATCATCAAAGTTGCACAAAGAATGGTAAGTTGCCTTGGGAAAACAATTAACTTATCAAATAAACCTTAATGCAAGCAGCTAGTGGCAACTAAATGTGAATTGCGAAACTTAATTCTTTTGGTTTGCATGAACTGCAGCGTCGATGACTCGGCCTCTTCACTGGCTATTTCTTAAATACACTATGCAATCAGAATAACTGAGTTAACGTTATAATTGCCAAAGAGAGATCTGTTTGAACAACGCTGATCGGTGTATTACAAGCAATTTCATTTTTCATCCACCGACCCTCTCCCCCCGCCATGTAACTAACGTGTATCAGTGAGGTAATTCGAAATTTACAGCTATGAAAAAAAAAAAGATCAATGAAAGCGCCGATATACGTAACGCCTTAGGGGTAAGTCGATTTTGGTCCCCTTTGCAAGAAAGAGCCAGTTTTTCTTCTATAATCCCTAAAAAATATTCAAAAGATAAAACGATGGTGCACAGCCATTACTTTTCTTTGCCCTATCGGGGGGTAGACGGGGAGGGGTGGGGTTGAAGGGCATCGTGAAGGTGGATGTGAAATGGAGTGGCCCTTATTTCTTGTCAACAGCTGGGGTACAAGATAGCATGTTACTTGACTCTTTTTTAAAAAAATATCAGAGTTTTGCAAGTCCATTTAATTTATGTTTTGTAATTATGGCTTTGGGTTTATTTTCAGACTGCAGCAGCCAATATCTTGAAAATACCAGTCATTGCAACTGAACAGGTAGCAAGGCAACTGAATTTTAAATTTAGTGACTTGCAATATAAGCAAGTAATGGGTTATTATTTTCCTCAAAAGAACAGAATTTGAAGGTGCATGAGAGAAAAAATCCAAATGTCTTTTTTTGTAAAATGTAGGAAAAGGGAAGAGGAAGTGATCTGGCAGTAGAAAAATAGGCATCACCAAATGTCCAGGATCATTAAATCCACATAATGTGTAGTTCCAGAAAATATCCATACCTCCCCCACGGAAGGGAATTTTTCCCCCCACCCCTCTGGAAATTCTGATTGAACTCCATACATTTCTTTAATTTTTTTGGTCTTACAGAACCCCCCACCCCCCAGGAAATTCCAATCCTTTCTGTGGAGGGACTGAACAATGTGGCCAAGGTTACTAGCACAGTACATGTAGTTGTTCACATAAGCTTAGCATACATGCTCAATACATGAGTGGTTTGTACGTGACTGAATTACATGTACTGTAAGGATGCACACAAACAATTAGTGTAAATATACTTTTGAGTATATTTTACTCTCACAACTTAATCATGAATCTCTTTACTCATAGGCACATCTATAGAAGGGTGTTAACCAATAACCTTCCCGAAAAACTGGTAGAATGCCACCCAAGGGTAACCTGCCACAGAGTGACGGACCAGTATTCCATTCAGTGGGGAGGGGGGAATACTCTGTGTTATGTCATGCTATGTACATAGCAAAATGGACTTCAGTGCTGGATGAACCTCTCCCCCGCTATCCTTGAACCCAGAGTATGTTAGAACTTTTGTTAAATGTTTAATATACCATACAGTTGGTCTTGTGAACTGACAACTTCATTTTTTTAAAATTAGTATCCAAAAGGTCTTGGCAGCACAGTCGAGGAAATTGATACAAGCTTTTTCAAAGAACGAATATATCCCAAGACAAAGTTTTCCATGGTTATTCCTGAGGTAGAAGAACAGCTGAAGCAGCTAAAAGTTGAAAATGTGGTTTTGATGGGAATTGAGGTATATAAAAAATTTAACATGGTTGACCAATGAGTGTTATTTAGGTGTTATTTTTTCCAAAACTGTTGGTTTTGCTGGTTGACAGTCATGGTTGAAAAAGTGTTTTTAGTAAATTTACACAATCATTTACTTTTCACTGAAACTCTTACATTGGGTAGTGGCTCTCGTAATAGACTATGAGTTGTCCCTCTTTTGCTTAGTCTGTTGAGTGAGACGCAAAAAAAAAAAAAAACTGCAAGAAAAAATGGCTGCACGAGATCCTGGGGGCAAGAGGAAAGCGTGGCCATTTTTTGTCGCGGTCTTCTCTTGCATCTCGCTTGACGGACTAAGTGAAGAGGAACTACTCGTAGTCTACTCTTGTAAGGTCTCACATGAAACGCTTGATACCCTTTGAGAGGACAATAGAACAAACAACAGAAACAATGTCCCTAGCCCCAAGACACTAACTGTACAAGTGCTAACAATAAAAGAATTACGAGCTTATGAGAGCTACTACACTTCTGAAACCCTCAAAGTTAAAGTAAAAATGTTAATTTTTCAGACCCAAGTATGTGTGTTACAAACAACCATGGATCTGTTGGAAAGGAATTATACTGTCCATGTGCTGGCTGATGGTGTCTCATCCCGTACTATGGTCGAGAGAATGTTTGCACTTGAGGTAACACATCTGTCAGAGTACAGTCTTGTTCTCAGCTATTGTTTGGATTGTCTCACTGCTTTTTCCTTTGATGGCTTTTTTAATGTTAACTACAATCTCTTCCTGTTTCTTTGTGGCTTGCACCTTTCTCCCTCCTAGGACTTCATTGTCTAAAAGATTCAATTGAACGCTAACCCTGGCATGATTAAATTTTCTTTCGTGTTTATTAACCCCAGCTCTAATGATGTGTCTTATTAAACAGAAACTATCCTCATTGGAAAGTCGCTAAACAAAAATCGTGCCTCCCACCTATAAATATTGTGGATGAGCGTGATGGTTCTTTTTTACAGCACAGTAACAACAGCTTACTGTGTCTGGTGAAAAGTGACAGGAAAAGTTGATATTCAAAACAGCAGTCAAGATTGCATTTTTTCTTGCATTTTGATGTTTGTTTGTATATCATGCATTCATTCACAGACAATTCCATTTTTGCTTTGTTTCAGCGTATCCGTAAAATTGGTGCTTTTGTTACCACTAGTGAATGCACTCTGTTCATGCTCATGGGTGATTCTAAACACCCCAACTTTAAAGAGGTCCAAGCTTTGGTGAAGACAGCAGCCCCAGATAGTGGTTTACTGTCCAAATGCTGATGAAAGATCAAAAACTGGATGCTGTGACACTGAACTGAACTGTTGGGGAAGAAATGTGATTGCAGATGTAGTGCCACATTCAAATGCTTAACTGACATGAACTTTACTACATACAGTCTTGCATGGTATGCATGGAACAGTCCACATGTTTAATTTTTCAGCCCGTAAGATTCTAGTAACGTGATGGAATGGACCTTTTTACCGATGTCATGCAATATCAACAATTTTCATATTTTTCATACAAACAAAAACACACCTCCATAGATCATTTTAACATGCCAAATGTAGTAAATGTGCAAAGTTTCATAAGAATCTGTTGTAAACTCATGAAAATATGGGACTCCAAACTTGCTATTTTTTTTTTTTACAAAGAAATTTAATATGCCCCCTTGGAAACATTTCTAAATTGGAAACATTGGCAAGGTTGGGGTCCTATATTTTCACGAGCTCGTTTGGAACAGATTTAAATTGCAACATTGGTAAAAAGGTCAATCGCTGATGGAACAACTTAAACATATAGTTTCCATGTAATAATTGTAGGAGTAAAAGAATATTGTTTGATGGTTGTAAACTTGGGTGAGTAAATGAATGAGTGAGGAAGCAAGGAAGCCAGCGGGTCGGCAGGTCTATACATAGGAAAGCAAATGAATGGTGGTTGATTAAGCCAGCAGGAGAGCAGGTCAATTCATGGGACGGCGATTGAATGGGTGGTTGTTTAAGTAAGTAGTTGGGTGGGTTGGTTTGGTGGGTGAGTGTTTACACTATGACTAGGCAAAGTATGCTTTACAACAAAAATTTTACGAGACTATTGTTTGCTCGGCAAAATAAATTTTAATGGTCTTCAATGTACAAGTTACAACATATGATAATGAGCCTAACTGTACGTTAATATTTGATTACAAAATAAAATGACTAACTGTTAATAATAGTAGCTACTATTTTTCCTTTGACTAACATTATTTTTAAAAGCATTCCATGCTGCCAAATTTCAACATGAAAATCAGGGTTCTGTATATATTTTGTCTGAGTGCATAGATGTTTTCTATCACTCAAGATCAGTACGAGATTTCCACCTGAGAAATTTGATACTGGTGAAATAGCGAGCTACAAAGATGATTATTGTATGTGCAAAAAATCTGAGCAAAAACCAACTGTACATGTACATGGAAATCTGTATAGAGCAAGAAAAGCATGGAATTTCTCTATTGACCACGTAAAAAGAAAGTTGAGTTGCACTTCTGTTGAAGATTTTCACATCACGGTGAAATTGCACCACTATCTAGTAAAATAATATCTTGAACTTAACTGAAAGGGTTATCTTGATCAAAGAAAATTTCACCCCTGAATAAAATATATCTCCTTTTTCTGTGGCTAGCAAAAGAAAACATTTTGTTGTTTCTTACAAAGTACTAAATACAGTTCGTCTCTATTTAAATGGCCACCCTCAGGGAAATGGGTGGTGGCCGCTTAAAGGGGGCTGGCTGCTTAATAGAGGTGAAAACAACAGAAAAGCCCCTGTTGGGACTTTGATAACTGCCTGCTTAATAGGGGTGGCTGTTTAAAAGCTGGCTGCTTAATAGGGGTTTGACTGTAACATGCACTGACTGAGCCATGGCTTTGAATTAAGGACGTTTGCGCTAATTGTTTCTGTGCATCCTTACTGCACACGCAAATTCACACGCCACGTTGTGCATGAGAGCATGCGGTAAGTAATAAAATGAACAATGATAGGGCAGATGGCCACTGCTATAGCTTTGCCTGGATTTTAGTATACTGATCTTGGATATTCAATGACCCCTACTTTTCTTTCCAGAAACAGATTTTATTTACCATGAACAAAAAATCAATGTGGGAAGTTAAAAAAATTTGAAGATTTCTGTCCATGGGACATTGAATCCTGCCATTTTGCAGCTGCAAGGCATGTGAAACTATGCTCACTAAATGCAAACTTGTTCTTTAAGAAGCCTCACCAGTTGACTAAATTCACCTAATAGGTCCACTTAAACAATATTAGGCAGAGAACATTTCACTTCAAAGATCTAATTGCAATATTTCGGGGCTTACAGTCACTGTGGCCTTATTGGCTAACGAAGGCTGATTGTTTTCAGATTTAGGGTGTTCTTCCGGGCAATTGTTCTCTCCAAAACGAAGTCAGTGAACCCCCACTTTTTCACGTTTCTAACATAACTAACTCATCATCTTACACTGGTAAAAGTCTCAGAAAAAAAAAAAAAATGTTGGAAAATTTTGGCACGAACGTCCTTAAAACAAGGGAAACTACAAACATCATTATATGTAATTGAACCCCATGTGCAGATCTCTTCATTCAGCACCAAGATTGCAGCTACTGGCAATTAAGAAACAACACTTCAAAAATCTGATTGGCTGGTGATCACTGGTAAACAAAAAATCAACTAAAATGTGTAGTCTGTGCAGACTCAAAATTTGAGTCTTGCAGGAGTTTGTGAACTTGGTGCTGTCTGAAATCAAGACCTCTGCAGACAAGGCTGTGTAACAAGCGTTGAACCCTGAAGGAAAAACTTAAAATTTTCTATCATATATGATTGATAGGCTGGTTAATAAATAACTTCTCTTTTCACCTGTTAAACGGTTGGCTGTCTCAATAGCATCTTATTCTCTACACCACTTAAATAATAATGATCATCTTTATCAATAATTATTATAGAAAAGTTTCTTAGAACAATTTCCAGTATAGTTGTAAACAAATTTTCAACCTTACTGACTAAATTCTAATACCTGATTACACTCATGGCAGATATTAAATAAGATAAAATTAATGTTTTTTTTCATTCATTATTGACCAAACTCTCGAGAGTTTACATTAATAATTATTATGCATGGTGAAACAGCAAGTGATAGATTTTTTAATTCTGTAAGATACATTGTAAGACACACGTGTTTGCTCTCCTGCCAATTACATTTATATTATGTTTCCTAACCACAGTTTCCCAAAACAATCATGCTATGTTGATGTAAATAGGGTATAGGTTTGGAAGTGGCCTCAATGCAACTCTGTGCTACAGTTGAGTTCCATTCATTGTGAACACAGTGAGGCTACATCCCATGCAATATCACCTAGGCATATAATTATCAAAATTCAGGATCATCAACAACCAAGTTGTACCAGTCATACAAGTCATACCCTTCTTTGTTGTTGGACAACAAGGGAGATAAAGGACTGAGACCCCTGTATCAAGGTTGCATCAACAATGTACTGGCCTTTCCCAAGTACAGTTGTAATTTTTTTTGCTAACTGAATACCTTTACCTTAAAAAGAAGACACAATTGTCCAACAGACCATCAATGGCTGCTGATTTCAGATAAAAAGAAATAGCATGTTGTAGTTTGAAAGAACACTTGTAATGATCTGGTAGACTTCTTATAATAAGTGTAAAACACAGGTCACAGGATTTCCTAACTTCCTCAGGTCTTTGGTACTTGGTATAAGACATGACTACAGCATAAACTTGGAGAATACTGCAATCCTTGTCATGTACATAAGTTTGTTCACAGGAAGGAACAGCTAGAATGTCTATACAACACAGCTGTTTTAATAGTTAGAGTTGGAAAGGGGATTAGCGCAAGTTACAGTCTGCTTATTAATTGCTCCCCAGCCCCAGTTACAGGAAAATGTTTATAACAGTGCTAATTATACATTATGCTTCACTAATCTGTAATTTTATGTTTACTGCACTTTCTACAGAAATAAGTTAATAATTTAATAACTGAGATAATAGCCATGTAGTATAAAACCATTTCAAGCTTTCAGCTCAAAATAAAACAAAAACGTAAAAAGATGAACGGTACATTGTACATTATGACACCCAGCTCAGTCAGAAGGAAATATAATTTTCATGCCAGGTTAGGGTTTGATGAACAGTTAATAAAAAAATGCCATAGCCTGAGTCAGTACTACACGCAGTTGCAGGTACAACAGGAGGCTTCAAGATGTTTCTTTTTGCCACAGAAAACCAAATTTTAAGCTGTTTGGCAGCTTTGTAAGCCAGCTTTGTTTTCTTTACATACAGATAAGCTGATAAAGAACATCATGCAGATGGTTTTGCTTAAAATTTACATGTACCCAAACATTGGTCTGATGCACCAGGACTAAACCTACATGTACAAGCCTCATTAAAAAACAGATGCAATAGACTAACATACTTTTGTAAAAGCCAAAATGGTTACCGCCTGTTTGTTACAAATTTTTTTGTAAAAATGAGAGCAGCATGGTCTCATAGTGTTCAGATGAAACTGACTGGCGAATGCCATGTCTTTCATTTGGATAGATCTGCAAAGAGTTACAGACAACAGTGTCAAATTATTTGAATAAAACCACAACAACAACAACAACAACAGAAACAAAACAAACAAAAAACCAAACCAAAACAAAAACAAACAAAACAGAAGTGATCTGAAAGTAATGCTGCCTGAAAAGAATGTTACTTAAGAAGCAACATTATTCAGCAAGGGCTTGAACCTACCCAAGCCAATTTTGAGTCCCATGCACTGTAATATAATTATTTAGTGCAATTCTCACTATTAACATTGTAAGAAATATATGGCAATCATTGAAAAACTAAATCTATTTTGAGCATACACTAACTCTTACCAGCAGCTGATATGGCTTGCAGGCCTTGATCAGCTCACTAATGAGAAGACTTGAGTGGTAGAAGTGAACATTCTCATCAATTAAGCCGTGGACAAGAAGAAGTCTGTTCTCTCTGTTAAAATGAGAGCGCAATACAGGTTTAATGAGAGGACAGTAAAGGAAATTAAGAGACGTTGCATGAATTGAAACTTTTTAAACTGGTAAATGAACATCAATCATCATTGTATCCATCAACACCAACCAAACAGTCATGGAGCCAGCAAAGGTATTTAATTTAGTTTCTAAACAACTGTTGGGCTGTCAGAAAGCTATTTATTAATTGAAGTAGATAAAGGAAAATTAACTGCCATAGTGAGTTTGTGAAGCTGACTTTTTGAGTGTTAGCCATTAGCCAAACAATAACATTGCAGCAAAATGATATTGGTTTGCAAAATGGGTGGAACCATCAATCATACAGGTGTCAAAGGTGGCAAATCAAAAAGATGAAAACCACTGCAGTCTCTGCCATTTTCCTTTTCCTCTGTGCCCACGCTTCTTGTGACTACATCGAAAATGCTACGAAGCGAAACTGTGGCCTGTTGTTATCTAGAACAAAACCTGGCACATGCTAGGAAACCAAAGAGACTGCTCATGTTCTAGGTTGCCCCAAACAAGCACCAGAACTGTCAGCACACCTACCAGTTACTCCAACCACCACATCACTTGCATTCAGCACCTCTAAACTAAATTTGTAAGAAATTCCTCATACATGTATAGTATTTAGCAATGTTAATTTTTACTTACTCATCTGGGAATCTGTTTGCATAATTTAACACAGAACTCATTTTGTATCCCAAGGGATTCTCTGCTGGTGTGCTCATGTAGCGCTCTGTGTAACCAGTGTCATAAGCTGACCATGTAGTCACAGGAGCACCAACAATAGCAACCTGTGGAATAGAATGACAAGCACACATCTTAAATTTTGAGAGACCATAACAAGACAAACACAGTGGTAAGAAGGTTAAAATAATATAACACTAACTCAGGCTATGTAAAATGAAAAAAGGTGCAGGTTGACCATGGGACAAAGATTCAAATATTGCAAACAATGACATGTACATGTAACACTGATCACCCTTAAGTGCTCTCAGAGTTGATGATTGAAGTAAAGGCCTGTTCTTACCTTAAATATTTCCGGACGCTGCACCAAACCAAGCAAGGACAAGTACCCTCCTAAACAATGAAAAATAAATAAACATCACTTGAGTTTAAAAATTAATCCCAAATTAACCAAGTAATACAAAAGTTAAGCTACATGCTTAAGACAGTGGTTCAAATGTATTGTCATACCATAGGACCAGCCGTGGATTGCAATTCTAGACAAGTCAACGAAGCCAGTAGCCTTGGCAACATATTCTAATCCCTCAACTTGGTCTTCAATTTCAACTTGGCCCTGAAAAATATGGCATTTTAAACGAATTATTTAGAACTCCCTTATGGCAAAACAGTGATAAAAACCAAAGCCACAGAAATCTATAGGTAACAGTAATGCATTATTAATAAATGGATGTAAGTTAGCGATACCTACCAGGCGATTCTTAATGTGACCTTCAAACTGCAGGCCTCTGTGTGCAGAACCTCTGCAGTCCATGACCACCACAACATAACCCAGTTTAGCTATGGTGTGAAGGCGAAGAAAGCGGTAACCCTTGTGAGCATTCGTCACCAGCTGCCAAATGATAAATAAAGCAGGACTGTTATGGAGGGTTTCATCTATGATTTTATTAGCATAACACACTGGTATGAAACATGGAGAATCGATGAGAAGTGATTTTGAGGGAGAAAATCAAAGTTCTCCACTAACAAATGAAACTGTTTGCTTTGAACTTCTTATTTGTAAAACTAGCTAGACTTGGTATTTTGTTTTCAGTTTTGAAATGCAAGTGCTGCTGGGTGTGAAAAGACAATAGTTAGTCATAATCACTAACTTGTACATTTATTGATTACCTGAACATGAGGCCCTCCATATAAGAACAGAACAGTTGGATATTTGACTCCAGGTTCAATAATAGGAGGTTTGAACATCATTCCATACACTTGATGGCCTGGAAAAAGGAGAACCATCAGTCAAAATCCAGAGGGTGGCAAAAATGCTAAGCATTCCAACCTGCTTGCTATCCAAAAGAGAAACTATTCCACTCTTTAATTGCCTTAACATGTACACTATGTTTTCCCACAAAGACTACACCTAGTAAGACCTAATGATTCAGCAATGGAATCCCTTTCCTTGCATATCTATTTTAGCCTGAAGCAAAAATTATATGTGTGAGAAAAATCAATCTATAGTTGAAAAAATGTCAATTTTCCCAAATCTAAGCAAGTTCAAAACCTCCAATGAACAACTCTGCAAAACATGCATAATATATGATAACTACGAGCAAACAACTAAAAAGTATTAATTAATTAGACAGTTGGTACAGTCTTGAAACTCACCATGCTTACTCTCATATGAAAAAAGTTCTGGTGGCTGATAATCTGGAATCACTGAAAACAAATATATTTACAGACAAGTATAAGGAACTGAGTGTAAAGAAATTTCTTACAAAAGGAAGGCAAAATTAAAATGTGACTTATGGTCACTACCTGTAGCAGTAATGGTTAGTTAATATATGATAGTGCTGACAGATTATGTTACATAAAGGTTTTGCGACTGAACATACATATAACCTACACTGTAGCTAATGCCTTCTATGACCTTTCCATCATTAGGTAAAGAGTATGAAAAAGTTCCTTACACTGACAGTATTTTTCTAGACTAGTGGATTTCTGTTAAAAGAACTTTCCTTTATTAAATAGCATTTAGGTTTAGAAAGCAAGTTTTAACTTATCATGATTATATCCATTTATCAACGACTGTTCTTACCACTTGATCGTAACAACTCAGCAACTGGTTCAACTGTGATAAGAGGAATATTGTTCATTTCTACTTCATCATGGTTCAGTTGATACACCATTACTGCTTGAGTTTCTTTTATGGATGAAAACACAGTTACAAACTTTGTAAAACTCTGCAAAGGAAAAGCATTTAATGTGACATTTTATAATAAAAAGAACAACATTCAAAATGGATGGAACAATTTATTAGGCAAGAGCTTTTAATTCCTATCACCAATAATGGACTGCATTCAATTCTAGCCAAGTTTTAGCCTCAATATGATTCTTCAGGTATTCTTCAATGCCCTTTGGTATTCTTGTTAATTTTTCTGACAGTACTCCCCTGTTAATGACAGAACGCAAGTCAACATGGTTATAAAAACAAATCTTCTTGTTTAAGACTTTACCTCGTTCAGACTGACCGCATGAGAGTAGCCAGACTGTGTTAGTCTCTGGGGCTCACTGTAGTCAGACTCGACATAGGACACTACATATCTAAACAAAGTACATAGGTCTTAATTAAAATAACTGGAACACAATGAGAGGAGGGCCAATTTCAGTTTGACTCCACCAATGAATTTTGTACTAGAAAATATCCACACCCCTTCCATGTAGAGTTTTTGGGATTGAACCTCCCCATCCCACAGTAAATTCAGTTTCGGTTCATACTTAATGCTTTCAAATTTTTGGCTTTTGAGGTCTTCTCCTCCCCAGGTCATCAAACAGCCTCTGCCTATCATACAGGTTGTGAAAAACATGTTCAGGTGTAAATAATAATGAGCAACTCAGAGAAGAGAAATAAATTAATGTACGTTAACAACAAATTAAATTACTTTAAATTGTAAATCTTATGCTTTTTCTTGATATTAAGCAACTGCTTTAATTCATTCTTTACTTACAGATGCTGCTCTATAGGTGTGTCTTTGGTTCCCATGAAGTAAATGAGTTTGCGATTTTCATCCACCCAGATCTGGCACAAAATAACTGAATATTACAACAAAAATACTGACCTGCATTAATTTGCCTTGAGTTCATAATCAGACTTACAGAGTTCCATGTTTTTTTTTTTTAAATTTCCTTGAATCTTTTCTCACCATCAAAACATTTGATTGTATGGAAGATTTTCAATTTCTTGCTTAGTCTTTTCTAACCATGGTACATGTATGTTTGCACAAACACATCTCCCTTGAGCAGCAAGAAGAGCCTCAATTGGAAAGTGGAGACTTATTATTGGTTGTAAGTCAACTACACCTGTGCTTTTTCAGTAGCTTGAAAAAGCTTAATAGTATTTCCAGGTACCAACCTCTTTACCATCCACTTCCCAATCTCCATCAGTTAACTGTCGTTGTGTCACAAGTGGGTAATGAATACAGCATTCAGCAATAAAGCTCCCTGCTCTAGCACGGGTGAGTGTGTGATTACTGTTAGCAGTGGCCAAGTAAAGATGCCGGTATCCAGATATTTCACTGGACCAGATAAACTGCAGTCTTGAGTCACTCATTCGCAGAAAATGAGTTAAATCAGCCACCTGAAAGAAAGTTCTTATTAATCAGTTTATGAGCTGGGATGGCATAGTAGGAGGGCAAATGCCTCTTGCCAGACTGCCCTGGGCTTGAATCCTGGATACAGCATCTAAGGTGGGTTGATTTTGCTTTCGTTCTTGACCCTGCGTTTCAAGGGTTTTTCTCCAGGTTGTCCAGGTTTCCTACCTTCACAAAAACAAGTTAATTTTTTATCTACTGCCATTTACAGTGCAATTAATAAATTTTCAATAAATAAATAAATAAATACATAAATAAATTACTATTTCTTTAATATGTTGTTTCCTTATACTTAATTGTCTTGTTAAAAACAGCATTGAAAAGAGAGACTTAACGTTTGAAACAACTGCCAAGCAAAATGCTTATGAGTATTTACAATGTACTCACATTTATCCATATATCATTAGATTCTTCAGCTAACACCTCAATCATTGGACTGCCTTCTGTGATTGTCAATAGTTGATTGGCAGGAAGATTAATAGGAACAAAGAACGCCACAGGAATTTGAACCATAGCAAGATGCTGCTGATTTCTATCAAGGATTTCAGCATATACACTAAGAAAAAAACACAAATTACAAGCTGTTTTCATGAAAGCCCTTCAACCCAAGCTTAAAACAATAAACACCATACATGTGATTGTTATTAATATAACTGGAGTTTAGTCAAATCCAAGAAATCAATCTAAAATGATCAGTTTCTGGTTGTGAGGAAAAGCTATTTAGACCTTACTTTGGCTAAACCAGAGGAAAGCTGACAGAGACATTAAAATAGCTGATGTGATGATTTTGTCATTAAAAATAAATGAAAAGTGGTTTTCACAATACCATTAATTTTACCATTTAATGTGTTTGCTTTTCTGTATGTTTAGGCAAATTCTATGGAAATCTGTGAAGAAATCTCTCTTCCTTTCTTTCATCTTTTTCAAGCATTTAAATCTCTGACTTAAGTCCATTACTCTAAGAGCAACAGTCTCACCTTTCACCATCTGGCAGCCAGCCACACCTTACAAGATATTCCATAAATGGAAATGCTTCTGAGAGGGGCACTCTCATTTGATATTCAATCACATGATCACAGATCTACACAAAATAAGTTATAATACATTACATACTATAAACAAATTATGATTAACTGCAAATTGCTGGACCTACAGTCTTTGCAGAAAATGGTTAAAACAAGTCCCTAAACACTGACTTGTAGGCTTAATTTCTATTTTAAATAATTATTACCACCCTTAGAAAGGTAACTAGTGGAGGCATGCTTAGTGTGTTCAACTCCTGATTAAGTGGTCAGATATGCACAATGTAGATGGCCCCCACTGCAAGATTTCAACTGTTGTGACCACAAGTACTCACCTTGCCACTTGTATCAATACTAAACTCTACAATTTTAAGTTTGGATTTGGCATTAGCAGAACCTACAATTAAAATAATAGTTGGTATTAGAATCACATACAATTACATTAGTTATATTAAATCCTGATTGGCGTTAAGCACTAGGAGGTCTTTATTGGGATTTTGTAACAGATAAGCCCAGAGACAAGCTCTTGTTGATAGAGGATATGGCAACCTGATGGTTAGAGCACAGGAAACTGGAGGGATTGTTTATGGTCAGGTTATTCTGTTAATGTGTTCTTTGGTAAGACACTATACGTTTAATAGTCTATTATTGCTAATTATTGATCCATTAGTCTTGTCTCACATTGGATTAAAAATACATTACAATTCTTTTCTGCATCCAGGTCTGTTTGGTCACTGATTAGCACAGAAATTATTTCTGTCTTGATCTTGAGTTGTAATAATATTCTTCCCAATGAATTCAGAATTTTTTGGGTCAATACTGCTGTATGTAAACTTTACACCCGCTTTACAGTGTTATGTGCATAGACAACATCTTTTGACATGCCATCTCTCGACATGCTATGTAACCTGGCCTACAGTATGTCAAAAATGTAAGCACAACTGACTTCTTAACAGTCGAACTTGAATTTTAGTGATGAAAGGTGAATTTATTTGACATCAAACTAAGGTTAGGAGTATCAAGAAGTCATTCTGGGAGAAATATATTGACTGTTTTGAATGTTTACACCCTGCGAAAGTTCAAAGCACCAGCAGCCCAATTCTACCAGAAGTCACTGTTGAGACTCGATTGACTACACATGACTAACCTAAAATCGTTTGAATTATCCCATAAATTGGGAAACATGCAAAGTCTGTAATCTTTTTCAGTCATTTGAGGTCAGTAATTATCATTTATTTGTCTTTTCTTCCACTAATGATCAGAAAAATTGACAGTTTCACAGTTAAATGGTCTTTAAGTTACATAGCATGCATGTATCAAGAGATGGTATGTCGAAAGATGTCAAAAGATGTTGCTTATGCATGTAACACTGAAAGCAGGCATAAGGCCTTCATGACTGTAATAATATTGTTTTATTGCTGTATTAAAATTATACATTTGGTTTATAGTCTGATTAAATTCATATGCTCTGCAGTTGTTTAAATATTGCTTCGCAGTCAGCAAGTCAATGCAATTAAAGGTCATCGCACGCCAGGGGGCATGTTCTGGGGATGTGCACAAGCCCCATTACATGTGTGTACATTTAGGGACAGTGCCCAACCTGGTGCACATGAAGTGGATATAGGTTCATTTCTTTGTTGTAGTGGAAAAAAAAAAAAAAAAAAAAAAAAAAAAGGAAAAAAAAAAAACAGCCTTCGATTAGTCACTTTATAAACACGTCAGTTAGTTTGGGTGTTTATTGAAACAACGAAAATTGTGCATCAATGGTTAANAAAAAAAAAAAAAAAAAAAAAAAAAAAAAAATGTGTCATACCTGCTTTAGGATACCGGTAGCTATCTACATGACTGTTACGTGCCATACTGTCTGGACCAGAGACAATATGGAGTATTTCTACAGAGCTCTCATCCACCTGTTAGACAGAAAAAAAAAGAAACTTAACTATAACTTTTTTATTCTAAAATAGTTATGAGAAATTCACTTAATGGATAGAACTGTTGAAACACTTGTTCATGACCAATATTAATATTTTTCCTCTTCAACTTTTAAGTCTCTTTGAATGTCTTTCCTTGACTATGTACATACCAAATTTTCAGCCATGACCAACAGTTCCAAAAATTTTCTTTTACAATTTTCTGAAAATAATCTCAACAGCTGAGCCAAACTTATGAGGTAATAGGCCAAACTGAGACAAACACACCTTAAAAGAAATTAGCTTCCTTATTTACTTCTATATCTTACCTCTTCAAATAAAATTCTGTAAGTCCTGGTCAGACCTAAACAAATTGAATATATGTTAGGTTTACATGAATGTTGATACAAAAAATCTAAGATTGCCCTGTGTTAATTTGTTTAACTGTATAGATGAAACATTTTGTGGGAGCATACATGAGACAGGTATTGCCCTGAACCGAAATGGTGACCTGGGTTAAATAACAGCTGGGAGCCCAACAACCTGCAAAACAGGCAGTTTAATAGGGAGAACATGACCTGCAATGCATGAGCATGCATGAAGGCGAGCGTACAGTAGAGTTTGAAAAAGGAGTAACAACAAAACAATCTGTTTATTTTTTGTTGCTAATTTCCCATGCTCCATGTTCTCTCAGATTGTGCCTTGTGCTTGCATATTACTCTGCACACTCTACCCTACTAAACCACATGATGGAACAACACAATGTATGCATATGTTGTAGTTCAATTGGCCTTAGTACAATTTTTATTTTTCTTTGTTTCATACATACATTTGTATACATTACCATGAACCCTAACAAAGGAAAATACTTCTAGCATTATACCAAGGGTAAAATTGAACCACACTATGTACATTGTATATCACTAGCAAAAACAGCTAAGTAATGTCAATGACAGTCAGTCGGTCAGTCAGTCAGTCAAACAGTCAGTAGTCAGTAACTAGTACACTCATACAGGAGGGACAATGGTCATTTAGACAGTAAGACAGGCAATATTTTGGTCAGTTAACAATAATCAGTCTGTCTGTCAATGAGGGAGACTGTAATCATTTGGTCAGTCAGTCAGTCAGTCAGTCAGTCAGTCAGTCAGTCAGTCAGTCAGTCAGTCAGTCAGTCAGTCAGTCAGTCAGTCAATAAATCAATCAGGCTGACCAACTGGTGTACACAAACTGTTAAACCATGATTCTTCTGTTACGTACTTTCATCAGTGCTAAATTTTGGTTGCCACCAGTAGCCAGTGTATCTATCAAATTCTTCCTGTACAATAAATGATGCCACACCAGCAGAAACAGGTTCCTCCATTGGACTTGGTGTGCCTTGATTAGTATAAGTCAACCTTCTTTCTTCCTCTGTGACAATACTATTAATCCAAATGTCATTACGATGAATAAAAGCCACTAAGTTGGGATCACAGGGGCATAATTTGGCATCCATCTTTGTCTCTGAAGTCTGAGAATTCAGCTCCTCTGGAATTATTGGCTGCCTATTTTCATCCTAGAGGAATATAGAGAACAGTATTGATTATGCTAATCATTAACAGTGATCACTAGGGTGCAATTTTAATTATTATGATTATAATTTTATTTTCCTGAACCAACATACTTAATTCAAGGCTATGTTCAAGTTTTGAATATGTAATAAGCTCAAATAGGTTGAACATTGTTTTAAGTCAGACATTTAATTGATGTTTGGTTCAGAGGTCAAACCACTTGCCAGTAACCTGTGGATCTATTAAATTATTTTGCTAAATTTTACAACCTCTGAAATCAATCCCCTGGACGTATTGAATAAGTCTGGAGAGACTGGCCTTGTTTTCTTCATGCTTGAGAAAAAGGTTCATCCAAGAGATTGAAGAGATGGGCAATTTACTTTAACATTCAAATATCTCTTTGATAATAGTGAGTTATAGAAAAATAAATAAAGACAGATTTCAAATGGTACTAAATTACGGACCAAAAAAAAAAAAAAAACAAGCAAAGTTAAAACATAATATTTACACAGATTGTAAGAGTTTTGAAATACTCACTGAGCTGGAGTGTAATATCAATCGAATAAAGCCCTCAGGGACTTAGTTTAGGGAAATTTTCAGGTAACCAGCGGAAAATACTTGTACCTCGCAAAAGCAGTCACATTTTGATCTCTTTCTGGCTTCAGTAATTGTCTCAATTTTCTGAAGAGACTAGTAGTTACATAGCAGTAGACTTGAATAAAAGAAGCAAATTATAAAGCAAACTAAATATTTATTAAAAAGGAAAAAGTTTCTTAGGGCTTAATTCAACGTTCGCCTTACCGTTCAAACTCACGAAATATTTTTCTCCTGTCCATTTACCGTCAAGTTAAAATTATTAACACATGGTAATTACTTTCACCACGATCACGCATTTTATTAAGGGATCCAAAATTTCCGAACCGTTCCCTTCTGTTAAACAACATGTAATTAAACTTATGCAATATGAAGGCTTAAGAACTTTATTGATTTTACCTCTTCATCAACTCGCCAATCTGTGCAAGTGTACAAACTACTGGAGGCGGAAAACATGAAGCGCCGACAAGTCTCATCGAAGTCATAAGCGGTGATTCCAAAAGCCCCTAGCCGTTTCCTCTCTCGCAACAACTGCTCTTCCCTCGAATATCCCGAAAAAGAACGACTGATTTTAAACGAGTCTAACAGAGGTTTCCACGAGAGAGGCGAATTTAATTCATCTTGTATAGGTTCCTCGATGGAAGATCTGTTTGGCCCGGGTAGATCAACGTAGTGAATTGTGTTCTCGCGACTTCCAAACGGAACAGCCAGAAAATAGAGCTTGTTCTCGCAGAACGTGAATGAATGAGGCACTCGGTTCACGAGACTTTGTTGGACAGACTTCGTTTGTTTGACGGCAGCTTGTAGATCTTTCCAACTTTTTTTTCCATTTTTCTTCCATGAAAATGAACCTTGACGAGGCCTCAGATCGCCGCGTTCCCCGAAGGGAGATTGTTCGGACATGTCGGTAAAGTTCTAACGAAGAAGATCCTTTTCAGTGCCATAAAAAGGAGTGTAAACGAAGTAAATATTTTTCCAAATACCGGGTTGAAGCCGGTTTGTTCTCTGTCCCTGTTCAAACTACGTCCAAGAGTCACGATGTCACGATTTCGAAATTTCGCACCTTTGTTAATGGTCAGCGGACTATAGTAAACATTCCATATTAGGGAATGTTCGTTCTCGTCGACATTGTCTCGATTAGTTGCCCTTCGATCCGTATTGTTATCGATTTATTTCCTTCGGCGAACGGCTGGAAAGCTGAAAGGAAGCTTTCGTTTTTTGACATGACTAATGTGGTAGAAGATGCAGAAACTAGACAAGAAATCGGAGGTAACCTCACAGACATTCTCACAGAGGGTTTTATGGAGTCTTTTGTTCCTGGACTGGAGAACCTGCAAGGGAGACTTGGCGAGCTAACGTAGGTTTTATTACCTTTAGCTAAGCTTTATATGTAAACCGGAGTACAGTGCACGGAGGCAACCTCTTCTTGAGAGCCGTTGGGTTAAGGCAGTTGTTTCACCTTCCCACTTTGGGCACTTGTGAAAGAGCTGTTTCACTTAGTGCAAAGGAAGGAAGAAGAGTAATCATGGAGTCACTAGGTCTGGTGATTGCAGTTTAGAGAATCTCGTGTGTGGTTTTACTCTATGACTCTGACAGTTTTGCCTGTAAGCTTATGTTTATGATATACAATTATAATACTCATTCTGTAAACTTTAAATATTATTTGTGATAACTTAGTTATTAAAAATGATACATTTATATTTTCATTATTTATTAGTACCAAGTGTGTTATATTCAATTCTATTTGATCTGCTGTTTCTTTCTTGACTTATTAACTTTTTAGTGCCACCTACTAGATAAATGAGAAATATTTTGTGGAATAATTAATTCCTCCTTCAATGCTTTAATAGATAATTCTTATGGACATTTTACTCATGTCTTGCTTTTTTCCCTTGCCTTTCCAGGTTTAGAAAAAAAAAACTGTATATTTTATTTAAACCTGAATTGTTCTCTTTCAGTCAAAATCAAGGAATTTTAATTGAAACCATACAACAAGAAAATGCCAAGTATGCAGAATGCCAGTCAGCTAAAAACCTTCTTGTCATGGTATGCTGATACTTTGTTTGTACAGGGCATGTTGGTTCATATGGGACTCCTGAATGATTGGCATCAGTTTGAATGCAGGCGTGGGTCTCTGTGCTGTGTTTTGGGAAAGACATGCTACTCTGGCCGGGAATGTGAAGGGGTACTAGCAAACTGTTAAGAAGACCTGACTGAAATGCTTGACGTGAACTTAGAGTGTCCCATTCAGCGAGAGTGCATGTACACCTGTAGCAATTGTGGTAGTGGAAACCCACCTTGTGATACCCCCGATGATACAATTTATGACATGTGAAGGTGAATTAATCAACATGACACGAGCGTGGGACAAAGAAAAATTCTGAATCCCCGACAGGAATAGAACCCATGACCTCCCGAACACCGGGCGGGCGCTCTATCCATTGAGCTACGAGAACTCATGGAGAGCAAGGCCATTTAACTGAGTTC